ACTGCGTTAATGTCAAACAATGCTGGCAACAATGTAGGAGCTTCCTCGGCGATCAACGCTATCACTTCGTTAGTCTCGACGCGGAGTAACGCAATGGTACGCCGCAGGTCCGCGGTGCTGTCAGGCGTTAAGCCCGAAGAGTCAGTGATCGTGGTCTTTGAGTAAGTAGAAATAGCAGCACTCACCCCGGTGAGGTTGGCGAGCAGGGAAGCCTGGACGGCGTTCCGTGGTGGCTGGTTTGTTGAAAAAGTACCGCAACGGGAATGTAGGCCATGGGAAAAGTGAGTGGCACTCCCAAGGGACAGGAGCCGGTGCGGATCCCTGCCATGAAACCGTGGCAGGGTTTCAATCAGGTCATTGCCTAGAACCACAGGGGAGGCTTGGACGCTGTCCACAGGTGTTCTGAAGGGTGGCTGAAGTGGCGGGTGGGACCCCATCGCCAAGGAAGCGGGAACGGCGTTCCTTGATGGAGAAGCCCGCGCTGCCGACGAACCACGAAGACAGGTACCGGTTACTTTCTGCAGAGGGTTCACTTATCGGACTGCACCCATCGACAGCGCCATTGTGACTTCGTTCTTCTTTCTTTGCTCTAGCTACGCGCGCGCTATATATATATATATATATATATATATATATATATATATATATATATATGGGATATGGCACAATGGTAGCGTTGTCAACAAGGATAAATATATTTATTTCCCAACAGTTTCGGGAGGGGTCCTCCCTTCATCAGGGGATGAGTTATACTGACATGAGCTTCCAAACTTCATTGCGGCCGCGTCCCTCTCGCCTTGAAAGATGTTTGCGAGAGTGAGAGGGAACTAGAAAAAAGAAAAAAACAAAAAAAAGACGAAAAAAAAGAAAGAAAAGAAAGAAAAAAAGAGGAAGAACCACTGTCAACACTGAGAACGAAGCCAACTGTCCGTCCACATCCACATACGGTTCATATCACGTGCTGTTCAGAACAGCACGTGATATGAACCGTATGTGGATGTAGACGGACAGTTGGCTTCGTTCTCAGTGTTGACAGTGGTTCTTCCTCTTTCTTACTTTCTTTCTTTTCTTTTTTTTCGTCTTCTTTTCTCCCTCTTTTTTGTTTTTTTTCTTTTTCTAGTTCCCTCTCACTCTCGCAAACATCTTTCAAGGTGAGAGGGACGCGGCAGCAATGAAGTTTGGAAGCTCATGTCAGTATAACTCATCCCCTGATGAAGGGAGGACCCCTCCCGAAACTGTTGGGAAATATATTTATTGTTGTTGACAACGATCCCGTTGTGCCATATCCCATACCTTCTCGAAGACTAACTTAACTGGCGCATTAAATTATTACTCCCAGTATATATATATATATATATATATATATATATATATATATATATATATATATATATATATATATATATATATATGACGCTACGATGACTGGGCGACGTGGCCTGGCTCATACGCCATGTTTATTGCGTTCTGCACTTCTTCCTTCTCTGCTTCTACCAACCGTCGCTACCTTCTTACGTCACATGATTCCCCCTCCCCCCGAAAGAATGCTCGCATTACTTATTAAAATACATGATGAACAAGTAATCCTGAAACACAAAAAAATGTCTAAATGGGCTGTAGTTCCACATCACATCGAAGTTCCGTAAGATCGCACAGACTTCACAGGAGAGGGCAGCAGTCCAGGGTTATCAAGTACGGCTCTGGTGGGCGAGGCTGGCTGTTACGCTCTGGATGACATAAGCATGCTTTGGGCGGGGGAAACCGATGCAAACGCAGCCAGCGTTCTTTCGAGGAATGAACGAGGCTGGAATTTCTTGCAAAATCGACAGTTTGTTGGCGTCGCATTTTTCGTCGTGAATGGTGCAATCCCGGTGCGTCTTGCTTTCGTGCTTTTTGACAGACTGTGATGAAGTGCCTGAGTGCTTGCGGTGTGCAAGCAGTGCTTCCACGTCTTTCTCGGTGTTTTCTGTGGTGGTGCAGTCGGTGTAATAGCTGAGGCAGGGAGTGTCCCTGGTGACTTTTCTTTGTGCGAAAGTGTCTGACATCTTGAATTTGTCTTTGGTTTAGAGATCTTATTTTTCGATGTTCTTTTATTGGTGAGTGCGCTTCCGTTGAATTTTGCATTCGTCGATGCCCTCGTCGCAGCCTCTGTCGTTGTAGCATGAGTTTATGAACTTGGCTTTGCTTGCTTTCCTGAGGCTGCTGAAGAGATGGCTGTACTAGCGCCCTTTCCGGAATGGGGCATTCATTTCCTTCGGTGTTTGACGCGTCTTGTAGACAGCTGATGAATGGTGAACTGGTGTCTTCCTTGTCTGGCATAGTTGAAAAAGCGTCATCATTGCTAGCATGCTCCTCAGAGGCTTCGGTGACGGAGTTCATTACGGGCGCTTCCAAAGGACAACTGTGTGTGAGGTTTGATGTATCATGCTCTTCTGAATTTGTTCGATTCCTGAATTAGTGAGCTTTGCATGTGGGCCCCACAGGTGACTTGGCATTACTAGGTTTGAACTGCAGATTTTGGCAAGTCTGCGGGGCCATAAAAATGACACGAAGCTCTTCAGGGGCTCTTTTTCGCTGTTCACTGCGAGTAGTTCTTGCGCCTGGTAGCGTGCGACGTTCGATGCGTTTGAGCCTTCTGTTTTGTTTGGACTCTCGGGGGTGTGTGCACCGGACGGTGATACATGAAACCGTACGGAAGAAGAATCGCTTGGCAGAGTATTTTTCCGATGCCCCAGGTCATCTGCCATGAATACGGCGTCCTTATAAGGTAAGTGGTGAGCGTTAGGAGCGCTTGAAGAACCGCGTGACCAAATCCCAGGAGGTGGACCACGTATGCGAGACGAAGAGTGCAGGGCGTCAGGTGGTTCAGCAACGTCTCGTGTCATATGCTGAAGCGATGACTTCGGAAATGCCGACTTTCGTGTACAACGAAGATGCGCTTGACGGTTGGGTTTTTCCCAATGTATGCATGGCCTTCTGTAAGTAAACGCATGTGCCACTTCGTCTTGAGGCACTTGTCGATTCGCGCTGGACTTTCGAGTGCTTGAGGACTGCTTAGGCAATTGACGATAGTGTGCAGTTGTCTCTAGATGGTTGGCAATGAGAAGTCTTGGTCATAGTCATTGAAATGAGTAATCATCTGCTCTTTTATTTTTTGCCATGACTCGTCATTCTCGAATATGTGAATTAGGTAAAATTTGAATGCCTCACCGGTGATGTAGTCGCTGAAGTTCGTAACCATCTCCCGTTCCGACCAAGATGCAGCGGTAGCGTGGAGTTCAAACAGGTTGAACCAGACCTGTACGGGTCCGTCGTCCGCTGATCCGGTGTACTTGGGGATGTGGAGGTCAGCCGATGGTTCTGTCATGGTGCTGATCGTTGTCCTCCTAGACGATGATTCGGTAGTCAATGTACGTTCAGGGCGTCTTCTGGGGAACTGCATCGATGATGAGTGACTGATGAAGGGGCAGGCAGGTCTCCATCCTGTCGACTTGTGTGACGCTACGATGACTGGGCGACGTGGTCTGGCTCATACGCCATGTTTATTCCGTTCTGCACTTCTTCCTTCTCTGCTTCTACCAACCGTCGCTACCTTCTTACGTCACACACACACACACACACATTCTATATATATATATATATATATATATATATATATATATATATATATCTTTTTCTGAACAAAACATTCTGTTGATAGAAGTGCTGGTGTTGTTCCATCTCTTGTCTGTGTGTCAGTATGCGCTAAAAGTAGGTTAACATGAAATAAATACGCAAATGCGGGCTGTGCACAATAGGGCGGCAGAGCAATCCAACCAGGCACGTCATAGATAGCTGTCTGCATGGTGGCGTCTGGCTATGTCCTCGCACACATTGTAATTGCACTTTGCCCCCTTTCTTACGCTCTCAAAACTTTCTTTACATATTACCTGTAGGTCAATTCTCCGTTTCAGTGCAATTAATTTGACGCTGGTTGATACACAGCTAACAGGTGGAGGGGATGTCGCGCACTATCGCTGTGAGGCTTTGGGGTGAGTGTCGAAGGTTCCATGTCAGGGCTGCACATGTTACTACGGGGGCCTGCAATAGCACCGGAGTTTTGTCTTCGCGAAGCAAAATAAATGTAAGTTCCATGTAAAAGCTTGGCACTTACATTTAGTGCTCGACTGTGGGGCATGTCATTCGATGGAAACACAAGTGATTCTACAAAATTACTATAGTATGAACTTCAACATCGCTTTCGTTAATGAACTTCAAAGCGCCTTCGTCCATCTATCAACTTCCACTAGTGAGACTCTCAATGATTCCGCAGAAAACAGCTTGATTTTTGTTTTCGTGTTCAGGTAAAGGATTTTTTGCTCTGAGGCTTGCCACAATGAACTGCAGAGTTATAACATCCCATGCTATACCGGTAGGTACACGACGCACGTTAGCCGCGGCACCATTAGCGATATAAAAGTCTCTATGGAGTGAAATTTCCAAGTGCGCGTGGGCGCTCCATAAGAGGAGCCTTATGTCTGTTCGTGAAATTACAAGTGCGAAGATAACGAGAGTTCAGGCAAGGCAAAGTGCTGTGCAAGACATTTACTCATAAATTCTTGAGATTTTGCTCTGTCCGCCACTTAGGCTACGGTTGCCCACCAGTGTAAGGCTGCTGACCCGAAGGTGGCAGTTTCGGTCTCGGATGAAGCGGTCGGGTTTTGCTGGAGGTGAAATGGTAGTCGCGCGTGTACTGTACGAGATAGGTTTACGTTAACGGAGACCAGGTGATCAAAACTTCCCGAGCTGTCCATGACAGCCTCCGAAAATCATGGCATGATTTTGTGACTGAAAACCCAAGCTTAATTGTGAACTTTTCCGCCGTTTCTCCGTGAGAGACACTGGGGCGCTTAGAAAGATCTGGTTCATAGATGATTCAAGTTGTAGATATCTTATGCTTCATTTGTGACGCTGCCTCTATTCTTTGGGTTTTGCCTCAGCGCATATTTTGTTTCCTGCAGCCTTCAACCGATCCCAACACAAAGGAGCAGGAAATTCACCTGGCATTGAAAAAGGACCAATTCAAGTGAGCTGGAATGTTTATTCTATGCCTGTAAAATACTTCGCAAATGTTTTCACCATAGCAAGTGCATTTGAATTGCTGTGGTCTCGATAGATAACTTATGATAATTAGGTAATATGTCTTTTCAGCTGTACATTCAAGATGCGGTCATCTCGGATAGGGTTCAATATGAGATGCCTACTTACTGGAGCTCATAAGAAGCTGTCCCTGGCGTCTTTTGGCGGTCCTGCTTTCTAACTGAAAGATCGTGGACTTTCACGTTTACACTGACACGCAGTAGTGACGGTGAAGGCAGCTGTCCTACTGGGAGGGACAATAATCTATGCTGGGCCGACTTGAGCCTAGAAGATGAAGTTATTCAAAGTAACAAGCAATGCACGCATTACGGAAAAAGTGGTGATCGCAGTTGTTGATGATAGGTGGTATCGCCGTCGGAGGAACGCGTGTTCTTTTGGAAACTTAACCGCACATTCCAGTATTGTCCCTTGCCCTTGAGATCACGGTACAGTATACTACAACACTGCCGTCATGCACGCAGTATCATCCGAATAGTCTTCCTCGGTGGAACAGCAGCATGGTGCTCGGCTGCTGACGCAATTGCAGGGGGTTCGATCCCGGCCGTAGTTGTCGCTTTCCGATGGAGGTGAAATGATAGTAGTCCGTGCACTGTGCAATATCACTGCACGTTAAAGAACACGAGATCGTCGAACTTTCGGGGGCACTCCGCCATGGCGTCTCTATTTATCATATCGAGGTTTTGAGAGGTGAAACTCCACATTTATTATCATCAGTGTTATTGATATAGCTTCGAATAGTCGGCAACTTTAGCCTTATCCGTATACCTTCAAATAATCGAGCAGTTTCGCTAACATCATGGCTGGCCTGCGCCGTGCTGCAGTAACATTTGCTGTTGGTGAGATGCAAACAAAGCGCCGGACAATGTCCTATTTTTAAAAAAAACGCCCGCCCGATGCTGAAAACAGAACGTGTCGGTGAAAGTAAATAGAAAGAAAATACACAAAAGTTTTTAACAACGCTCCTAAGATCCGCAGTGCTCTCAGTAGGGTTGAATGCTTTGGTTACCGTGGGAAAAAGAACGCGATTAGCAGGTTTAGTAATTATTTTTTGTGAGTACTACGGTTGTAAAACAAATGTAACAGTGATTATTGCCACATTTCTACTGTTTTCTTACTGCCTCGTTGCAAGTTAAATGTTATTCTGCGCAACTGGCATCGAATGGCCAAGAACCATTGAGATTCCCATGAAACCTTTCGATGCGAGTACGCATGCAACGCAAACAGGAGTTTTTTCTACAACTTACGTAGGCCGTAAAATAACGCTAGAATAGTCGATGACCCATGTCTAACGGCCTACGTGTTTTACCGCTTGTAAGTTGATTGACGGCCGACGCTCTGTTAGCCACTCCCCTTGGACCTACAGTATCTTCCTTCTTCCAAGTCACGATCCCGTCACATCTGGTTGAGGTGTTTCTAAGCACATGTGCCGAACGCCCCGCTTCAGCCGCGAGCAAGCGCACACCGTGAAAGAGACTAAGAAAAACGGTGATATAGAACAGTATTTGCCTAATTGTCGTGAGCTTAAGAAGGAACGGCAAGGTTTATTAAAGAACTACAACTGTTAGGCTCGCCATGTGACAGCGTGACTGATATTGCGTTTTTGCGTGATTTCTCAATCTGCAGGAAACAGTTGTCGAGACTTCTCTTGAATTTTTGGATTGCTACAGACCTCGCATGTGACTGATAAGTGACAATTATGTTTGGGGTATAGGGCAGCTAGATAGGGCGCTGGCACAATACTGCAAGTGGAATAGCGCGAAGGCCACTGTCTTATGCAGGCTTACGTCGTTCTAAGCACAATTTTTATATTAAAGCCTGCTCGTGCTTAGTTAAAAAACAAACAAAGGATATTAGCTACATTTAGCAAAAAGAAAACCAGGCGGGGCAATTGCCTGCAAATTATGCGAGGCTAGATCCGCGGCTACCTACAACAACCTCAACTCCTCAACTCAACTAAGATGTCCAGGCCAATCATTATGAAGGAGCTAGCCACCGGCGATAAGGGCTGCATCCAGAGTACGGCGCTCTACCCGGTAGTACTCGTAAGCTTAAGGCCATGACCATTAGAGTGACAACTATACCAGCCCCATTGCAAACGCCCGCCACGAGAGTAATTCAGCAGCCAAGGCAGCCACTGATCTTTCGCGGATCATCGTTTAAAGGCGTGGAGACTTGGCTGAAAACGTTCGAACGAGTGTCCCTTTTTATCCTAATTCTACATAGAAGACGCGGAAAGGACCTTATACGAGTATCGTAGTATGCACATCAAACCTGGCATCTCTTCCAAGACGCATTCGTGGTCACGTTCAGGAGCGTCGACCGCAAAGAAAGGGCCGATGTTTCGCTGGAAACCCGAGTACGTTTACCAAACGAAAATGTCACAGTTTTCACGGAAGAAATCATTACACTTTTTTGCTGGCCCCATGCTGCTATGACCGAAGACGAAAAAGCTCGGCTGTTTATGTGAGGTGTGAAACACGAGCTTTTTGCAGGACTTGTCCGCAACGCACCTCTTAAAGGCTACAAAGATACAATGCCTCAGGCCAAGCTCACTGTCTTCTATTACATTTTCACATTCGTTCACTAGTAAACACTAAGCTTTTATAAAGAATAAATATTGTTACACATGGTAAGGTAACTTAATGGGGGGTTTTTAATGGCCCTGAGTCCGCGATCACTCTAATGATGATGATCTCCACCGCCATGACTCGTACCCACTCAGGGGAATCGCAGTAGAGGCAACGTTGCCTTCCTTCTCTATCCGTGCTTCCCTTGTTTTTCCTGGTAGTGATACCCCGTATCATTCCTCCCGTCTCAGACGAAGCCCTCTGGGCGAGTCATTCTTGCATGCTTCGAGTAAACGGCTTCAGGTGGGCAACATGCGTCACTTCTGTCTTGCATGAACGTCGGCCACTTGTGGTGACGCATGCAGTTTCATAGTTGACCTCGCTGAGACGACGGAGTATCACAAAAAGACCGGCATAGTGTGCCAGTAGCTTTTGGCTCAAGCCACGTCTGCGTATTGGGGTACATACCACACTAGATCACCGGGGGCATAGGTTACATGCCTGTGTTGACTGTCGTCGCGAGTTTTGGAGGACACTTGCGCTGCCAGCGTACGTAAGCAGGCAAGTCGACGTGTCTCTTCCACACGACACAAATTTTCCGCAATTGTTAAATCGTCATGGACGACAAAAGAAAAGATAGTGTCCAGGTGAGCGAGCGTAGAACAGATATAAAGGGCTGTAGCCTGTCGTTTCGTGTTTCGACGTGTTGAAGGCGTACGTGACGAATGGTAATACTTCATCCCAGATTTTGTGGTCGGGGGCGACGTACATTGACAACATTTTGATCAACGTTCAGTTTGTGCACTCGGTGAGGCCGTTAGTTTGTGGATGATACGCAGTTGAGCGTCGGAACTTAAAGGCACACAAACGAAGTAATGATTCGACAATATCAGTGGTAAATTGTCGTTCACGGTCACTTATTATCACGCGAGGAGGTCCGTGTCGGAGGATGACTGAATGCAACAGGAACTCCGAAACCTGGACTGCCGTGGCGGAGCATAAGGCAGCCGTCTCGCAGTACCGCGTCAGGTAGTCGGCGCATACAATTATCCACCGGTTATCCTTTGAGGAGCGTGAAAATGGTCCCATCAGATCAATGCCAAGCTTTTCAAAAGGGGAACCGGGAGGCTTTACAGGTTTCAGGTGACCAACTGGAGCCGAGGAAGGCCGCTTGTGGCTCTGGCACTGCGTGCAGCTGGCTACGTAGGTCTGAATCGTTTTGATCATTTTCGGCCAATAAAACCGCTCTTTCATGCGACTAAGTGTTTGTGCGGTGCCTAGATGGCCTGAGGTGGGGTAATCATGCGTTAGACGCAGAACAGACGTTTGGAGGGACGCAGGAACAACCAGCAGAAAGCGGGCGCCCGCCGTGGACACGTTTTTCTGGTAAAGAAGACCATTTCGGACGCAGAATTGACCTTCGCTTAATGAATTTCTCGCTCGAGGGAAGACAGCTTTAAAGCTTGGGTCATTACGCTGCTCAGAGGCGAAGGTCACGGCATCGGGAAAGCCAGACGACAGAGAAGCGATAAGGTGGTAAAAGTTACCGGCTTCACAATCTGTCCATGGTAGCGGCATTCTAGAGAGGCAATCCGCATCAGCGTGTAGACGGCCAGTCTTGTATGAGATGGTGAAGACATGTTCTTGCAAACGAATGGCCCATCGTGCGAAGCGGCCGGATGGGTCACGAAGGTTGACCAGCCAACACAGGGAATGGTGATCTGTGACGATAGTGAACGGGCGACCATAGGTGTATGAGCGAAACCGTTGCACGGTAAAGATAACCGCTAGGCATTCCTGTTCGGTCATTGTGTAGTTGCGTTCAGGCTTGCTTAAAGAACGACTTGCGTACGCCACTACGTGTTCCTTCTTGCAGAACGCTGAACAAAAACGGCACCGATACCGATGCCACTTGCGTCTGTGTGAATTTCCGTGGGCGACGAAGGATTGAAGTGCCGAAGTATTGGCTGCGAAGTTAACAAACACTACAGCTTGTAAAAAGCGACATCACACTCGGAGGTCCACTGAAACAGGCTGTTCTTGCGTAGAAGGCTCGTCAGGGGGTGAACGACACCCGCAAACTTGGGTACAAACCGGCGGAAATACGAGCAGAGCCCGATGAAGCTACGCAGTTGTTTCACAGATTTAGGACGCTCGAACGATTCAACGGCCGCTATCTTTTGTGGGTCAGGTCTAATGCCATCTTTGTCGACGAGATGACCTAACACCAGTGTCTGTCGCTCGCCAAAGTGGCACTTTTTTTCATTCAATACAATGCCAGCTTTTTCAATGCAGCTGAGCACGAGGTCTAGGCGAGTATTTTGCTCCTCAAACATACGTCCAAAAATTACGACATCAT